GCCAAGGTGAACACGGATGCCATCCGCTTGGCCCAGGAGGAGATCTGCGAGTACCGCCGCCAGCTCCAGTCCAAGACCACCGAGCTCGAAGCCCTCAAAGGGACCCAGGAGTCACTGGAGAGGCAGAGGCAGGACTCAGAGGAGCGCCATCATGCAGATGTCCTCTCCTACCAGGTAACATGGCGCAGCGGGCAGCATTCCAGACCTGTCGCTTGGTGGGGAGGGACCATCCAGCTGCTGGGGAGGAGCAGTGCTGGGGCTTCGGCTTCAGAGCTAGTGCTGACCAGCAGCCAATACTTGGTGTTGTGGCTAGAGCCGGCCTTCCCCCGCTCCAGGTGACCAGTTACCCAGAGCCCTGAGGTTGTGTCCAGGCCTCTGTGTCCCTCACCCACCACGGAGCTACCTCATGTCGCTGCCCAGCTTTGAGCTGCCGCCCATGATGCCACTGAACCATGCCCAAAGTTCAGGCTGTGTCCTGTGGCCCAGAGCTGGGAGCTGCAGCAGGGAGGGTTGTGCCATGTGGTGGCCATGGACTGAAACACTGGCCCCGGGGTGATGCCCCATCAGCCTCAGGCTGGGAGTTGGAGGCCACCAGACTCAGTCTAAGTCCTAGAACTGTTCCCACAGCTGCTCCAAGGTGGTACAGGGCTCCTGCCACACTCCCCAGAGGAGCTGGACATGCTGAAACAGGCCCTTGCCCTGTCCCCTTCCCTCTGTGGCTGCAGGGGGAGGTGGGTGCAGATGCTACTGTGAGGGCACCCCCATGCTGGGTGGGCGGTCCCTCCTCTGGAGGTGGGTGCTCTGTGGCCCTCTGCTCCTGGGGGATTGACCCCGCCTATCACCAGCTGCTCTGTTTGGCACAGGAAACCATCCAGCAGCTTGAGGGTGAGCTGAGGAACACCAAGTGGGAGATGGCAGCTCAGCTCCGGGAGTACCAGGATCTGCTCAACGTCAAAATGGCTCTGGACATTGAAATTGCTGCCTACAGGTATGGAGTGGGGAAGGGGCAGGTGGGAGGGGCTCAGCCAGGCTCTAGCACTGGTCTCGGTGGATGCTCAAGGCTGCATCTTGGTGAGAAAGAGGCACTTCCATCATCCAAGACCATGGTGGGCAACATCCAACTGGGTGACCCACCCCTGCGCATGGCTTATGGAGGGAAGGGTGAGGAAACTCACGTTTGGAGGGGAGAGCTGGGAGAGAAGCAAGCGCTGACTGCTTTGCTCTGGTCTCTTCCTGGCAGAAAGCTCTTGGAAGGGGAGGAATATCGGCTTGAGTCTGGCTTTGGGATGATCTCCTTCCCTGAGGTGGTCCCCAAGGCTCCCAGCATCACCACCAACATCAAGGTGAAGAGTGAGGAGAAGATCAAGGTAGTGGAAAAATCTGAGAAGGAGACAGTGATTGTGGAGGAGCAGACAGAGGAAATCCAGGTGACCGAGGAGGTCACAGAGGAGGAGGAAGCTGAGAAAGCAGCTGAAGAGGAGGAGAAGGAAGAGGAGAAAGCTGAAGTAGAGGGTGAAGAGGAGGCCAAGTCTCCTGCAAAAGACGAGGCCAAGTCCCCAGAAAAACCAGAGTCCCCCTCAAAGGAGGAGGCCAAGACCCCAGCTGTCAAGTCCCCTGAAAAGCCACCAACCCCCTCAAAAGAAGAGGCTAAGAGCCCCGTTGTGAAGTCCCCAGAGAAGCCTACACCCCCCTCAAAGGAGGAGGCCAAGAGCCCAGCTGTCAAGTCCCCTGAAAAGCCACCAACCCCCTCAAAAGAAGAGGCTAAGAGCCCCGTTGTGAAGTCCCCAGAGAAGCCTACACCCCCCTCAAAGGAGGAGGCCAAGAGCCCGGCTGCAAAGTCTCCTGAGAAACCCCCAACCCCCTCAAAAGAGGCAGCCAAGAGCCCAGCTGTCAAATCCCCAGAAAAGCCCCCAACCCCTTCAAAGGAGGAGGCCAAGGCCCTGGTGGTGAAGTCCCCAGAGAAACCTGCAACCCCCTCAAAAGAGGAGGCCAAGAGTCTGGCTGTCAAGTCCCCAGAGAAACCTGCAACCCCTTCGAAGGAGGAAGTCAAAACTCCAACTGTCAAATCCCCAGAAAAGCCCCCAACCCCCTCAAAGGAGGAGGCCAAGGCCCCTGTGGTAAAGTCCCCAGAGAAACCGAAGTCCCCGCGGAAAAGAAGGCGCCTAAGAACCCCGAGGCAAAGTCCCCAGAGAAACCGAAGTCCCCCTCAAAGGAGGAGGCCAAGAGCCCAGCTGTCAAGTCCCCAGAGAAACCTGCACCCCCCTCAAAGGAGGAGATCAAAATTCCATCTGTCAAGTCCCCAGAAAAACCCCCAACCCCCTCAAAGGAGGAGGCCAAGACCCCAACCGTGAAGTCCCCAGAGAAAGTCATATCTCCTATGAAGGAGGCCAAGTCTCCACAGAAAGAAGCAGCCCCGGCCAAGGAGCCAAAAGCTCCTGCAAAGGAAGAGCAGCCCAAGGAGGCAAAGGCTCCCCCCAAACCAGGAGCTGAGGAGGGCAGGAGGGAGGAAGGTCCCAAGAAGGATGTCCCAGCCAAGGTGGAGGAGAAGCCCAAAGAGAAGGTGGCTCCTGTGCCAGAGCCTCCAGCCCCACAGGTGAAGGAAACCACCAAGCCAGGCCCCAGAGCTGCAGAAGAAGGAAAGGCTGAGAAGGAAGCTCCCCCAAAACCACAGCAGGAGGTCAGCAAAGCAGCTGAGAAACAAAAGGCCGAGGAGCCCATGAAGGAGAAGGCGGAGGAGCCCAAAGCTAAAGCAAAACCCAAAGATGAGCCCAAAGCCAGTAAAGAGCCCCCCAGGGCTGAGGCCCCCTCCAGCAAGGAGGGCAAAGCCCCGGAGCCAGCCCCTGCCATGGGGAAGAAGTGAGCGCAGCCTTGGGTGCCGAAGAGCACCTTCGGGCACAGGAGCTGCTCCGCTTCCCTCTAACGGTTGGGCCTGGACTGCCAGGCCAGGCTTTACCGTAGCAATATGTCCGCGTGAGAGATGCAGCCCCTCGCTGCCCCGCCTGGCGGTTTGGCCGATAGCTTCCCTAGCAGAACGTGATACACGCCCAGCACCACATTTAAACACTTGGAATTATAACCGAGGAGAACCCCAGGGGAACCGACCACCCTGCTCCCATAAGTGCATTTATTTAACGTATGCGCAATCGATGGACGAGTGCGATGCAGAGCTCTAGCTGCTGGGGAGGGGGCTGGCGGGGGCCTGGGGGTGATGACTTTCCCTCCGAGAGGTGCCGCGGCCAGCTTCGGTGGAAGAAGACACACAGGGCGCACTAGGAACCTCAGCCCACTGTACCTGCTTTCTGTGCAATAACCAAATAAAGTGCTTACAGAGACACTCTGGCTCCGCTGGCCTCCTGTCTGGGGCCGGGGGAGGGGGAGAGGGGGCAGGCAAGGCC